ATATTGAACTGAGGGTGCTGTAGTTTACCACAGGTGGTCAGAATCATAAGATGATTCAGGCAAAAAAATAAAATAAAATAAAAATTCTATTTAGCTAAATAATGACAGGTGATTATTTTAGGAAGGAAACAAAGCAACAAGACTTTGTGATCTTTTAAAGCAAAGTCAAACGGCCGAACAAAGAATAAAATATGCCTCAATGAGTGAAAAAGCAACCAAAGCCTAAAGAAAAGTCTGGAAAATCCTCATATAAAATCTGAAGAAGTATGAATCAAACACAGGTCAATGCATGAAAATCTGTCTGCTTGGAAGTAAAATATAAAGCAACGACAACTGGCTTAAGACTTTTACACAGTCCAGTATTGTGGAAGCTTTTGCTCCACTGATCTTTCCCTTCATTCATTACCTGTAATCACAGCACTTAAATCACATTTCATGAGATATTTTAGCCCATCCTATGTATTTATTGGTTTAAATCAGTAACAGCAGATAAGTCTGATAAGTGGAATCATAATCATTTATTTTTTTAAGAACATACAAATGTAAAAGTTTCAGTTGTCATTATTGTGACCTTATCTTTAGAACAAATAAAATAATATGATCAGACATTTATAATCATTGATTTCCACTTTTTAAATAAAAATGGCACATTGTTCCCTACAGCATAAGATAATCTTATTGAGTAATAAATGTTTATGATATTCAGCAGCTGGTATGCATTCTTACTTAAAAACGATGGCTACGATGAAATCCTAGAAATCTATTATCAATCTTGAAAATGAACCATTAGGTTAAGTGATACTCAACCWAAGAAAGGTGGTGGCAATAAACAGTTTAATCAGAACCAGACATGGGTTTTTACGTAAAAACAAGTGTGCATTGCCATGTAGCATGTCATTGCCTGCAGCAGTTGACTTGCAGAATGAATGGTGACCAAGTTCAAATGTGTTTTCTAAACCAGCTTGTGCTTGTCAAGTCAGCAGGTGTTTGTAATGAGGGTAACTGTGTGAYAATWTGAAGTTTGAAGAGATTTTTTGTTAAAGTTGCTGTAACTGSRTTTTGAACCCTGATCTCCCACATGAAAGCCCAAGGCATTAAACAATGAGACCATTGGAGCTGTGGCAAAGAGGATTGCCAGGAGTTGGTTTGGGTGTGTGCAGAAAGAGGCCACATCTCCAATGCAACTGTTGACACTAAACTGCAATATATTATAACAATAAAGCAATATTTGGACAATATTATAGTAAAACATCAAAATACTAACATATTAGTATTGTAAACACTGAACTACTGAGTTGAAATGCTACTAAACTATGGTGCAGTACTGAGTAGATACAGCATGGGGCAGTATTGGACCAATACGAGGCTCCATTGACTACCATTATAAATTATTAAACATTAATATTTCAAAAACTATAAGTTGTACAGGTACCAAAAGGCATAGCCAACATTTGGGACAGGAGCTTTACAGATATAAATTACAATGGCAGCTCTAGGACAAAGTATGCAGGAGGAGAAGCATGCCGAAGTGGAGATGACTTGGATGGGAAACGAATCACAATAGTGTGCATTGCATTGGCAATGCACACTGACTAATATCATCGGTTCATTATTAAATGTTCTGTATTTTTTGTTGATCTCCCTGCAGGATCAATTATCACAACAGAAGCAGTCTCAAGTTCAGTGTGTCATGGCAACACAAAAACACTCACAGCTGTACAAAGAGACAATCATTTCATATATGGAAAATATTTTACCTGTCCTTTATTGCCTTTTATCACACATCTCATTCAAGACATACCGATTTTTACTTTGTTTCATATGTTTTTATGTTTATAGGGGCCTGTTTATAAATCAGATTAACAGTCAGTGTCCAAATGATGAACATGGTTAATTAATTATTGTTCAGTCTGCTTTAAAAACAAACCACTTCCAGAATCTGAGTCACAGTAAATTAAAAAAAAACTGCTCAACAGTGATTCAGCACATTAATGTCAGAAATACTGCTGACTAACGCCCTGTATTTTAATGATCACGTGACAGTCTCTGGTCCCTTTGCTCAAGTAAAAAAAAAGTAGTAACTATGAGTAAATCTTATTTATTTATTTATTTTATTTTTACTGGAGGTCGACCTGACAGTTCATTTCTAATAAGTTTTTAAGAAATGATTCAACCCGGTTTTTTTGAAGGCCCATGTGTAGCAAGTAGTCCAGTGACCCACGAGATTACATCTTAATTTTTATTCTGGTACTCACGGGGAGACCGCTGAAACACGAAGGAACCGGCGGCAGAGAGAGAGAGAGAGAGACCGGGCCATGACTACGTCCTGGGACGTGCAGCCGGTTCCTTGGAACTGTTACAACACAGCACACTCAGAGACAAACTACCGGTACGTGTTGACACACACAAAGTTTAATAAATTATCCTGTGAATAATCAATATTTCACCTCTTGAGACTGGCAGAAGCTGCCACGAAGTAAACCCAGCGAGTTTGCGTAACTAACACACTTAAAGCTGATTTCAATAAAAAGCTAAAGGTTACCTGTCCTGGGTAGTTATGAGTTGATGTTATCCCTGGTACAGTGTAATCTCTGATGCCTGCCACAGAGAGCCTGTTTAAAATGTGAGATGTGAGTGAATTTTACCTTCTCTGCTCCTCTTTCAGCGTCAGACTCGCAGACTGAGCGTAACGCGGAAGAAAACTTTACGCCATGAAGGGTCAAACCATCTGCCTCACGTCAGAGGGGGGGCGGGCTGCTAAACTGAGCTTATTTTTGCACAGTCACGTTTTCACTTTTAATAAAAACACACGTAGACGTTCATATGAGAATATTCTAGATATTTCTCGCGTAGTGTGGTCAATTAGGGTGTTGTTTTATTATTTTAGACTGGTCGACAGCAAAGTAAACACACCCGCGTTTATTAAAGAGCTGTCAAGGTGCAGCAGGCAAGGGGTCATGGTTATGCAACGGCCTAAGCAGCAGGCTGAAGAGACAATTCATCACTAGTTCGTCCTTCTCAAGTTAAACAATGTTTATGTTCACAGAGCCAGGGACATGGGAGTGATAAACCTACTACCCTGGAGGTTTCCTGTCCTCACGTTAAGCTCACACACTGTATACGAGCTGTCATAGTCATGAGATTTAACTGTCGTCACCGTTTTATAAAAAAATATATATGTGATTGATGAAATACGATCACAGGGTAAACATGATAAAATTATCTTAAAAAATAAATTATGCACAATCTCATATTTAGAGTATACATTGTGAAGGACTCAGCTACTGCCACTTAAAATTTGACATCAATAMGTGTACAATTGTCTATGTTGTAGACATTTTTGTGTAAGGGTTGATAAGCTGTGGCGCTCATTTTGACTCAGATTGACTCTAAAGGTTAATCAGTTGTAAACATACATCCAATGATTATTTCTTGAAAGTCAGTCAGTCAATCCAGTCAGGATTGAGCTTTATTTCTCTAAGCTGGGGTTGCTCAAAGAGCTATCTACAACAGGTAAGATATTAATTGTTCATAAACTTTTTACTTCAAAAGATCTGAATTGTATTTTTAAATATGCTTCTCTCTTTTTTAACTCCATCCCATAAAAGACTAAAGCACTACAACTGTGTTACAGAGACAATAGAATTCAAAAGACAGTTTTTTTCATTTGTCTTAACTTTCAGCAATTATTCAACTATATGTGAACCATACAGATGCTGCTGTGACACCTGAATCTCCCCTCTGCGGACAGTAAAGGCTTATTCTATTCTATTCTATTCTATTCTATTCTATTCTAACATTTTTTTTCTTATTGCCATACCCTTCAACCAGTGATAAACTAGTGACATAAGTTTTGAAAAAAACACCAATTATAATATGAGACCAAAAAGAAAAAATAAGTAAATCCTCTGGATGGGTTCTTCTTTAGTGAAACGTTTTGTCTCTCCTCCAAGAGACTTCTTCAGTCTGATGAGTTTCAGGTGAAATTTAGCACTGCCTCCACATGGTGGACAAACAAATTAGTCACATGCAAAAGATGGCCATCGCTTAACAATAGGCTTGATTAGCTTTATTGTTTATCGAGGGTCATGTGCCCCATCACCTGACTTATAGGTATTGCAAACCCACCCATACAGACCAGTATTTGCGTTTTGATTCCCATCACCCACTGGAACACAAGTTAGGAGTGATCAGGACTCTGTACCACAGAGCAGACAGTGTCCCTACAAACACAGGAGCCAGGGAGAAAGAGAAGTCACACAAGACAGGCCCTGGAGCAGTGCAGTTAACTGGGCTTTTCTGAAAGCAGACAAGAAACCCAAACAGGATTCCAGCCAACAACCAGGTGAAAATGAAGACCCTAAACCCAGACCCAAACCAGTCGTCATTCCATAAGTGGCGGGAGTTTCAGAGAAACTGAGACGTTTATTCTCTAAACATGACGTCCCAGTGGCTTTCAAACCCCAAAACACATTATGACAAAGATTAGTTCACCCGGAAGATCCAGTTCCCTGATAAAAACAGAGTAACATAGTATATGCTGTTAAGTGTCAGGAGGACTGTGATCAGTCATACATTGAGAAAACAAAACAGCCACTGTTCAAAAGAATGAGCCAGCACAGACGAGATACTTCGTCGGGTCAGGACTCTGCAGTTTACACTCATCTACAGGCCAGGACTCTGCAGTTTACACTCATTTACAGGCCAGGACTCTGCAGTTTACACTCATTTACAGGCCAGCGGTCACTCTTTCAGGGATGAAGATGTTCTCATCCTTGATAGAGAGGAACGTTAGTTTGAGAGAGGAATAAAGGAAGCCATCTTTGTGAAGATAAACCATCCACCATTAAAGAGAGGTGGAGGCCTTCATGTCCAGTTGTCCTCCTCCTACGCGCTGTTATTGCAAGTATGACTCAGCCCCCTGTGAGCAAAAGGTGTGAATCAGGGCCCCAATGATACCAACACAAAGAGGGAAAAAACAAAAACAAGGGGACGTCGAGCCCCGCTTGCATTCACTACATACACATAACACGACACGGGTCAGATGATGGGGCACATGACCCTCTATGAATAATAGAGCTAATCAAGCCTATTGTTAAGCGATGGCCATCTTTTGCATATGACTAACCTGTTTGTCCATGTGGAGACAGTGATTATAAGGCTGAGTTCACCTGAAACTCATCAGACTGAAGAAGTCTCTTGGAGGAGAGACGAAACATTTCACTAAAAAAAAAAAACCATCCAGAGGACCTATTATTTTTTTCTTTTTGATTTTTTCTACCCGGATTACTGAGATGCATCAGGACATACAGTCTGAGACAATATAAGTTGCATTTTAGAGCATGTTTGGTAGGAAACATATACATCTTTATTTTAGTTGTCAGAGGTTTAGGAAAAACATTTTTCATTTTCCTTAAAATGCAATTATCACATTAGGCATATTTCGTCAAATGTGCGTCCTAATAAAATTTTACTCACCAACTTAAACTGAAGATGAATTAGTCTAAAATTATATTGAAGATGCAGCTGTAAAACTAAACTGACAAGCCTCTGGGTATATTTTTAATACAAAAACTTGTTTTTCCTCCTAACTAAAGCATCCATATTATTGTTTTGAATTTTTCAGCCATTTTCAGAATTTAGGCTTTTGTTGTAAATCCCTATATCATTTCTTAATAGAAATACTTCATGCAGCAAAATATGATAAAAAAAGATCTGATTATCTTAAACCTTATCTTAAACACCCAGTCAAGATTCATTAAAACAAGCACTGTCTGTTGAATCATCTTCTTTATTGTTCTTGCATTATTCAGTGAGCAAGCGGCTAGCCACAAAATGGTTAATAATTTAAAATGATGTATTCTCATCATGACTAACAAGAAATAAATGGTTTCATTGGTTCTGGCAGTTTTTTAATAGATGTGGTTTTTTTTTTTCATGCATCACGAGTTCTTTGGTTTCTTATTCCTGCTTTTAAGTTTCTGACGCACAACAGCCAGCGTAGTGAAGAAATTTCCCAGGAAAAGCAGAAGGAAGCAGAAACCACACATCAGGACCTGACATCACATGAGAAAAGGAAACATGAGTCAGCAAAACAGCAGTATATTACATGAGTCAGCAAAAAAGGGCCTAAAAAYTTTTTGAAAGAACAGATGTCGGATATTTTTTTACATTCATGTCTAATTTTGACAGACTTATAGCCCAAAGTGTGTTGAATRATCTTGGTTAACTGTGGTGGCCATCTTGAATTGGGTTGTAGATGATGACTTTCAATAAAGCTTGTATAGTTTCAATAAAATTTGTCAAGTGAGATATTTTGCTAAACGACAACAGAAAAACACTAAACACATATCTTCAACTTTTGAGGGTGAAGGTTAAAATTTACAAAAACCTGAATTATTTCTCAATTTTTTTTGTAATACAGCTGGTTAAGGGAATGAAGACATCCCACACATTATTTATTAATGTATTTATTTATTATTGAGCAAATGTGAACACATCAGCCATACATATGACTCATCTGATGTGCAAGTATAGTCTGGGCATGTTTTTAGTTACTTTTAACAGAGTTTAAAAGTTGAGATTTTTTTACTTGACATTTAGCACTTTGAGACTTTTGTTAATGAAAAGTGCATTATAAACTAAATTCATTATTATTATTATTATTATTATTTTTAATTAATATTAAGCGGCAAATGTAGAGTAAATACGGCAGTAAAGTTTTTACAGACGGTAAGATTAGAGCATGACACAGCAAAATTAGAACATGACACAACAGAATGTGGAGACTGAAAGGACTGACCTGCCACTCTTTGCAGTCTGGAAGCTGAGCCAGTCTGAACAGAGACAGGCTGTTGAACAGCTGCCAGAACTACAAGACAAAAAAAAAAAAAAAACCCAGAATGGGTTTAATTAGTAAGAAAATGTCCCCTGAATTCTTAAAACCTTGACCTATTTGAAATTCATCTGGTCTGATGGCATCAGTGACATCACTTTTAATCAAACCTTTATTTATTTAAGACGTTGAGTCACTTCTAATGCAAACATMTTGTACTCACATGACCAAAGAACAGGAAGGGCAAGAGAAACGTCAGCCCCTTCCACATCCAGGACTGGAATCCCTCTTAAAACACAAAACGTCAAGAGTTGAGTTGCTGTTTTTAAATTCTCAAATCAAACCAACACCTGCAGGGCAGTGAAGGTTTTCATTCTATTTTTAATTTCCAGCTGTGTGTGTTGTTGTAAAGTCCACACTGGGTTCTGTGTCCTTGGTGTGTTTCTGTGCTGCCTCTCACCTACAGTCAGATCCATGTTGTGTCTTTCTCCCAGGGCTCGCAGTCTGTACAGACACCCGCTCTGATAGTAGCACTGCAAACACTGAACAAAACCTAATGGAAAAAGAAAATGACCACGCTGTGAACAATTTGAATCATAATCCTACTTTTTTTTTTTTTGTGGAGTAAAACCTGACTTTGATACAAGGAGTAGGCAAGAAACTGGTTCCTGAATGCTTTGTACAGATTTCCATCTGGCCTTAAGGGGTGAGAGGAGAATAAATTAGTTCACCTTCATATGCTTTAAAAATAATTAATTATATATTATTTTATTTATAATTTGAGTGCTCACCACGTCAGCATTACGCCAGACAAAAAAGCTGAGACGTAGTGGTGAAAAACCCACCAGCCTTTGATTCTGTWACAAATTAAATGTTCAAATATTAAATACTAAACTTTAAGTGTAATAAATTAAGCATGAAGGCAGCAAATGGTCACCTGGAGCCATTGGTGATGAGGATACTTTCCCTGATGGTTAAYGTGCAATAATACCACAACAGCAGGAAGTTCAGGACTGCATCTAGGACTCTAAAATCAAAGRCACGAGTCAGACAACATAGACAGCATCACAGGTGACAACACTTTGATTGTTGGACGTACCTGTAGCTCACAAAGAAATAACAAATAAAAGAGAGGAGCAGCAGGAGCACTGTGAGGCACAGCTTGAACTTCTCATACTCATCCTTATAGGCAAACCTGCAAGAAACAATATGTTTTTTAAAACTTTATTCATGACACTGATGACAAAAAGCTTATAGGAATTCATCACCTGAAAAAGTAAGGAACACAGTGTTTGTTTTATGTGTTGGTGCAATTTATTCTTTTTATGATTTCATTAAAGCACATCTTCTGTTGAGTATAGTTGTTTCAGTCAAACCTTGTAAATATCATCATATAAGATGTCACGTTGTGTGATGTGTAAGTGCTCAGAGTTGAGAATGACCCTTAGCTACTACCACCACAGATTTTATCACAGTTTCTGTGAAATTGACTKTGTTTGAACCATTAGCTAAGGTCAGTGAGCTGTGGAGTGGCTCACTATTTTGCTAACAGACAAACAGGCTAGACTTCAGCAGTTAAGTTTTAAGGTCAATCTGTAACACTCAGAGTATGTTGGGGATGAATCTTTGCTTCTATATGCCAAATTTTAGCTTATTATCTATAATATTGACAAAATTTTTATGTTTTTTTTTTGAGTTAGCTGTGGTGGCCATCTTGAATTACGTTTATTCTAAGAGTTAATAGGTTGCTGATGTCTAGTCAATGATTACAGCTGGTTTCATCAAAAATAATTACTTTTTGATTATTTTACTAAAACACTGCAGGCACAAACAAAATCATTAATGCCCACCTTCACTCTTTTATAGTGATAAAAAGTGGTCAGTAATGAAAAAGATACRTACATCAAATAAATGTTAAAAATTAAAAGGTTGCTCACTTTGCTTGCTTGCTAAGAAGAGTCACATTTACATTTCCAAGAACCAGGCTGAGATATAAGCTGCAACACAAAAAAAAGAAAAAACAAGTCAGAATTTTCATCTAAATGTTTGCCTTTTAACAATTTTGAATTTTTCAGCTTGAATCACCCATTTTTCTTTGGAAGGAACATTTCCATTTCAGACAAATCGTGTTCTCTTTTCTTGATTTTCTTCTTTAACTCCTCCAGCATCTTCAGATCTTCTCCTGATGATCCTTTGCTGCATCTACAAATCAAAAGATTAAGTTTACTGTCTCAGTCATTTGCTCTTACAACAGATTAATTAAAGTCTGGTTGTTTTAACATTTGCCTTATTATTTTTTCCCTTCTGCAAACACTTTTCTGACCTCCTGCACTGCATTTATCTACACGTTCATAAAAGGTTCAGGGTGTGTGCAGACATACTTCTTTACACGACGAGACGTCTCCTTCAGTTTTTTACGCTGATGGGAAATAGACGTAGAGCAGTTGTTCTGGTGTTTACAGATTTCATCCAGTTTCTGTAAATACATTTTGTGTGTTTCCTGTGGAAAAGAATGATGTATGTATAATGACCAATAAGTAGCACACTCACAAGTTTCTGAAGAGATATGATTCGTAAACAAGCATTAGAGCCAAATGACAATGCAACACTGGTTAATTTATCTGATTTCATGTGAACTGGTTAAAAACTCACAACAATACTTGTTTGCTAGAAATTGTGACCCATATGAAACCCCACCTTTTTTTCTTACCTGAAGTTTTTGACACTCTTCCTCTAGACATTTCCACTCCTCCGGAATTTCTGTTAAAACTTGAGTCATTTTAAARTCTTTGACACCAAATCCAGACCTGCTTGAAAAATTAGCAGCACCTGTTAATTCTCTATGCGCTAGAATAAAGAGCAGAACTGCTGAGGTATCACTTAGGTGTGCATCATATCGCCGGTTTATTGCATGAGCTGAACTTTCACCAGCGTTATCACTCAGAAACCTGGAAGTGTTTCACGTTATTGTGAACTACATTACGTATGAGGTGAAGACTAGAGGTTAGAGTTTCTACCTTTGCCATGGTTCACCTCTGTGGTTGCTCTTTGAACCCTGACTGTAATGTTTGCATGCAGCTGCACATTGGCATCATCTGCTGGACAGAAGAGAGGTGTTATTTACTGTTAAATACAGATGCTTTGTGTGTGAATGATTCTCATACAATCCCTTAAGACAGTGGTTCCCAAACTTTTCAGCTTTTGACCCACAAAATAACAGTAGCAGAGACCTGTGCCCCCAGTTATTTTTGGATGATAAACATTTGTATCAGGCCAACAAAACATGGGCATAGTAACAATATTTTTATACTACATTTATCCATTTTAAATACACTAACGTCACTCCTTTGTAACAAMTAAGGCAAAAATGTAAATAATTCAGAAAATCTTTTCAGGACCCCACCTTGATGTTTCGGGACCCCACTTTGGGTCCCGACCCCAACTTTGGGAAACACTGCCTTAAGACATTAGTTTAATATTTGTAAAATTTACAATGCTATAGTCATTTTTGTGTTGGATAATATTAATAAATTGTGTCAGTCTGCTTACTTTGGGTTGGATCCAAAAGTTAATCAGTTGTAAATGTACATTTAAGGATAAATTTAAAAGTTTCAATAAAATCCATTCAGTGGTTTATGAGATATTTTAACATACAAACAGGATTGAATTCCAACAGTTARGCCAAAGTTTCAAGCAAAGATCTTGCACAATGAGTAGTGTTTGAAATATGTGATGTGAATGACCAAATTTTAGCACAACAGTTTTAAAATTGACCAAGTTATGACCATTTATGTGTATTTGAAGGCCAGTTGACTGTGGGAACCACCTTGATTCAAGCTGACTCCAAAAGATAATCAGTTGTAGATGTGCATCCAGAGTTACTTTCTGAAAGTTTCATTAAAATCCTTTCAGTGGTTCTTGAGATATTTTTGCTAACAGGGAGACACACACATACATCAACTGCACGCTGTGTTGTGTTACGAAGGAAACCRAACTCTGTTAAAGCTTCATTAATTAAATTAGTTCATTCATTTGTATRGCATATAACAAGATATGTGAAATGACTGGAGTGTTAAAAGCAATGTTCCAGTCTTACATTTTTATGTATCAAAAATATCCCTTGATATGTCCATCATAACTCCTGTTGTCCTTGAGTCAAAGTGACCAAAGGCTTCAATTTCAAATTTGAGTTATTTTGATCAAAGGACAACAGAAACATCAGTGTAAAAAAAGTTTCCCCAATTGAATTCAGCTTTTATTCTGAAAACACTTTTTTAGCGGAAGTGCTCACTCCGCCTGAGGGAGGTAACAGAGCGCATGCGCGTCCAAGCGACAGCAGCCGGTTAGTTCTCCAGCTGTGTGTTGGTGAGCTCAGTGCATCTGCAGACCTAAGGAGACAGTTCATCAATCTAGCTCTGACCTCTGCTCCTGGACAACAGCAGCGAGGTCAAAATTTTGAACGAAGAACAACCAACGATTAATGACAAAGAAGGTAAGACTCCATTTCTGACCCTCCAGTCATTTCCGCTAATGTTACCCCAGTAAGCTAGTACTAGCATCGTCAGCAGGTTGTTTATGATCAGAGTGCTTTTTCTGTTATCTACGATATACATGTGAAGCATGAACTGTGTGGATAGGCTGGAAACAATGTAGACCTGTTTTTAAATGTATTTATTATTTTTTCTCGATTAATAAAATCATAATAATGAAGTAGGCAATTCACAGGGACATTGCAATAAATAAACACAAAAGTATMTAATGAATTTCCAACATTACATTTGATTTTTCAAGTTGAAATGTGTTTTAGCCTTATGAGTGTTGTGTTTATAACCTTCCCTAGCAAATCGTCTGTGTACAAGACTAAATCTGTGAATTACAGATGCAATAACACACGGATTATTTCAGTGATGACTAAACTAAGTGCCCATATCTCAAATACCAATGCCTAACACGATTTAAATAAAAGGAAATATGGGTTTTWAAAAGTTTGATTAAGCATTATTATGTAAGACTGTATAGTTTCCTAATCAATGAGAACATTATCATATTCATCAGTAGCAGTAATAAGTTATTGTATTATATTGGTAAAGCAAAATGAGTTGATCCAAGACTTCAATTTACGCTTTACTCATTTAAATATTTATATTTGTGACCCATCATATCGAAATGAGGATTAAGTCAAATTAGGTCAAAATGATCTAATCACATTTCCAGGTTCCTGGCTTTGAAAGCTACATTTTGATACCTGGTTCATTCTGATATCATAAGTGGATCCAGATATGTGACTTAATTTGTCTTGTTGGTTACAATGATGCCATAATACAATAATACTTAGTCTGCATCCTAATTTTATGTAATTTTAATGAGGAGTTTTTGATGTCACTATAGTATTTGAATATTGAGATTTTTCAGCTGGAAAGAAAAAACATTTCTAGCTCACAGGGAAAATCTCAAAATTGTAATGCGTTTTTGCTCAAAATCAGTTTTTTTGTTGCTACTGCTCAAAAAAGTGTTTGAGAGTTTTGTTTTATGTTTATATTTCAGACAGTTCATTCAATTGATACATTGATAAGGCATTTATTTATCWTGCTTTGACAAAATGCAATTTTTGCAAACATTTTAATCAAAACACTATATTTGCCGGTTTTTCTACAYACCACTTTTAGACTTAATCCTCGTTCTGATGTGATGGGTCACATTTAATGATGAATTAGTTGGCAAGTTCTCAGTGAGCATCACTGTTTATGAGCTGATCGTAATGTGTCTCAGATGTAGGGCTGCCACGATTAATCGATTAATCGACGACTAATCGATTATTAAAATAATCGATGACTAATTTAATAATTGATTAATCATTTTCTTTTTTTGTTGTTGTTCTTTACTTTGTTTTTCTCTCCAAACTGCTTTGACACCTTCCACTGCCACATCTGCCTTTCTGTCCTTGACACACATGCACTGTAGTGGTAACTGGGGTAGGCCGTGGACRTCACAAGACATTATACAGACAGGCTCTGGTATCATGGCTACCTGACAACGGAACTCAAAAGTGTGGGAACTTTTTAAGAAAATGAAAGAGAAACCTGTGTAATATCTGCAGAGCAGAACTTACCTTCCACAACAATTATTTTTAGTTTGCATATAGCTAAAATCTAACCATGGTTATATAATAGCAGCTGCATTCTGACACGATAAGCTGTATGTTTTATATTCAATTAACGTATGATCYGATTAGTCGACTAATCGAATAAATAATCGGTGATTAATCGATTATTAAAATAATCGTTTGTGGCAGCCCTACTCAGATGAAAACTCAGTGTTGATGTTTGTTGTCCAGCAGACTGGTAGAAAATGTGTGCCGCCATCTACGTCCTGTCAACGGTAACGGGCTACGTGCTCACCTCTGCCCTGCTGCTGAAATGTCCGGGTCTTCTGCACCGGAAGAAAAGAGAGACGTTCCTCAGCCGGCACATATCCCACCGAGGAGGTGAGTCACAKCAAAATGTGTTCAGCTTTTATACARTACATGGATGCCATTTACTTTGTGTTTTTCTTGGATAAATTTTGTTAAGCACATTTTCAACTTGTCATGACGTGCTAGCAGTGGTGCCTTAAGAAACTATAAATTAAACTTTAGCTTATTAACCCGGGAAGGCTACATTTTGAGCTATGTATGGGTTCCACTGTCTTGCAGATGTGCCAATACTTCATGTTTATCTTTTCTGTTACAGGAGCAGGAGAAAACCTGGAGAACACAATGGCAGCTTTCAGACAGTGAGTAGAAAGCTCTCGAAGGTTCGAACTTGGCTCCTGATTGTCCTTGTGATTGTGGGCAGCGTGTGTCATCTGAGCCGTCAGCTTTGTCTTCTTGCTGTAACATAATCACGCAGAAATCAGTGCCTTATACCACAGCCGAGGTCAGCACCATGTGACGTTTCTCTTTCTTCTTTTGTCATGTTAACTGGGCTGTGAACCACTTTATTTTGACTCAGCATGTGTCACGTTTCATGCCGAACTGTGTTCCAAATGTCTCCGTTTGGGACTATTGGCTTGGATTGTGTGACCGCAGTGCAAAGAGTCAAAAAATACATTCTGTAGTGTGAAAGGTTTTAAATTGCTTGTCTTTTAATATATTTGGTTTCCAAGCAGGCAGACTTTCTTTTTTATTAATTTAAGTTTTTTGAGCAACAATTCTTCAGGCTCTCAGAAGATTTTATTTCATGTTTTATTTTATTTTTGCAGACTTAAAAATACCAGTAAAGAGGACAAGTAGAAAACAAAGAAGTGTCAGGCATAATAATATCCCATCTACAGCAGATGAACAGTATCTGAAAGCAAAAATGACATTTGAAAGAGAAAATAAAATTGGAGAAACAGTAACGATATGACAAAGAAACAGAGCTGATAATCTRCTATTAACTCTGAGAATCACTTTGTTGGTGCTTAAATACAATTTTTATGTGTTAAACTGCTATTTTTGGTAATTTTTTATATATTTATCTAAAGAAATAGAAACTGAAAGTGTTTTTGTCCTGATGCATTTCAGTAATCCAGGTCTTACAGATTTTTTTTCTTTTTGAAAGTGTCTTTGTGACAGATTGCTGGTAACAAAGTGGCAAAAGATCTATTTTAAAACTGGCTCTTTGTTAAGTAGTCCATTGTGTGCTGACAGAACTCTGCTTTGCTGGCTGAAAATGATCATGTACTGAACAGGTAGTGAGTGAAAAAGAAGGCAAAGTAAAAAGAAACACTGATAAACAACCAAGTCTGCCTCTTTGGAAGTAAAGCGCGACAAAATGGGGACGACTAAAGACTTCTGCACAGTGTTTTAACCCAGCAAAAGCTTCTCTGTTGTGGCTGTGAGTCCAGTGTGTGCTCTGTGTGTTGCTCCCTGCAGTGCGGTGGACATCGGCACCGACATGCTGGAGTTGGACTGCCACCTGACAAAGGACGGACAGGTCGTGGTTGTCCACGATGCCAACCTGCAGAGGGTCTGCGGCGTCGATGCCAACATCAGAGACACGCCCTACGCCGTGAGTCCGTTTCTGTCATCCTCACGTGACAAATAGTTATTTCCTGAATGTTTTCTAACCGTACATTCCACTCTGTGTTTGCATTAGCTTTGCTGACATGAGAAAATCTTTAGATATGAATATTTATCCCAAACAGCAGCGTGTGGTTTTTGTGTCCAGACTTCAGCACATGAGTAGATTGATCATGTGACCATGTGACAGTTGAGGTGCACTCTGATCCACCTGATTATATCATGTGACAATTACCATCAGATCCATTGGTTTAAAGGGATCCATGATTAGTTGTAACATTAGACTTTATTTGATAAACATATATTTTAACTGTAAAATAAAGACTGTAAAAATACTGTAGGATGTTCAGTTTTTATCATTTTTAAACTAAAAGTTTAAAAATATATTACACGGACAGGGCCATTTTATTTACACACAAAGTATTCTGGGTAAATGATGAAGTGGATAGGTCATCGGTGCGAGGCCGCTAGCGAGCTATATCCACCCTGAAGGTTAATCTTGGACAATATCTGATGATCGACTCTTTTAAATGAAACCAGAGAGCGTTGACAGAGAGGAGAAGGTAGAAATGACTCAGCCTGTAACTGAAAATATGGATGGAGGACAACAGAGCTGCTTCATGGAAGAAGAACCTTGCTTTGATGCTACCACACCACACGTCCCCCTGTCTGTCATGTGGATGGAGGACCTCAGTGATGAGAAGAGAATATGTAGCGCTGAGCTAATACATACAGTATATAAGATGATATCATCGGCGCTAGCGCGAAGGCTAACAGGCTAAGCTGAGGTTCTTCTTCCATGAAGCAGCTCTGTTGTCCTCCATCCATATTTTCAGTTACAGGCTGAGTCATTTCTACCTTCTCCTCTCTGTCAACGCTCTCTGGTTTCATTTACAAGAGTCGATCATCAGATATTGTCCAAGATTAACCTTCAGGGTGGATATAGCTCGCAAGCAGCCTCGCACCAAGGTCACCACGTCATTATTTACCCAGAATGCTTTGTGTGTAAATAAAATGGCTCTGTCTGTGTTAAAAAATATTTTTAAAAATTTACAAAACCAAACAGCCTACAGTATTTTTACAGTCTTTATTTTACAGTTAAAATATATGCTTATCAAATAAAGTCTAATGTTACAACTAATCAGGAATCCCTTTAATGTGAACCAGCAGATCTTCTTATATAATTTGTAGTAAAAATAAAAAGAACTGTATTTTGCTGAGAAGTTCGAAGGTGACAGGTATAAGTGACATTTATCTAAATACTTTAGATTTGAAGATGATCTCTGTGCTGTTGTTAGTCCATCAGTTCATCTCAGAAGTGATGATCCGAGCTCTGAAATGTCTGCAGACCACTGACTGCTGTGCACTCTTTGCAGGAGCTCCCTCCATACCTCTGCAGGCTGGGGGTCACCTTTCAAAAGGGTAAGCATCACAAATCCAGTGTGCTCGTATTAAAGCAGCACTTCAGACTTTTTCGTGTGTCTGTAGAAAGATTATAAGCAAATAACAGCTTACACGTTGCAGATAGGTTTTTGTACAATCTCCATTTGAAGAAATAGTTTATATCTGACAAGTTTGACAAGCTTAGGGGCTAATCTGAGCCGGACAAAGTGGACTGCTGCAATCTTAAAACTACTTTAAGCTCAAAGATTTTTTTAGCRTCATGCAAACATTATTGGTTTATGCAAACACATTTGCAAACCGCTTGTTTGCAAGTGCAAAAAACACAGAATCAGCTAGCTTTAGCATGTCMAGTAGAGCCTGGGTCACAGTAACATTAGATTATTTCACCCCTCCAGCTGGGCTCACAAAGAGCTTTGTTAAACTGGGTTAAATCACTGTGTTTCGAAAATGTGATGACAGCTACTCTGACTAGCCTTTAGCTCGTCAGCCTGGTCAAAACTAAACTATTTCTCCAAAAGGAGTTTGTTGAAAGAGCTATCTACACCAGGTAAGATATTAATTGTTCATAACCATGATGTCTCAGTCAGTTTTAATCTCTATCTTGATGTTTTCTTGTCTTTGTCCGTGCAGAGTGTTTTTGCGAGGGCGGCGAGGACAAGCGCATCCCGCTCCTCAGGGACGTTTTTGATGCCTTCCCCGACATCCCCATCAACATCGACATCAAGGTCAACAACGACGCACTCATTAAAAAGGTGTGTGTTGTGGGGTTTTAAGCATTCAGGTCTCCTTTTTTTTTTTGTTTTAAGTGATTTAAGTTTAAAGCAGAAATGAATTTATGAAATTTGCTTGCTTTTAAGTATTAAATTAAAATTGTCAATTGTTTTGTATATATTTTTTACTTTAAAATGTTTTACTGGATTCAAAGTTAAATTGTTAGATTGTCTCAAATTGCATTTATTCATCGAAAATGGTAATTTAGAAGATTTACCAACTCGGTTATGGAGAAATGAAGTTTTGTGTTGAAACTTTTTGATGTCTGCAGGTTTCTGAGCTGGTTGTTAAATACGACAGAGAGCATCTGACTGTGTGGGGCAACTCCAGAAGTCAGATTGTCAAAAAGTGCTACAAAGAGGTACGTCTACAAACTCACCAACTTGTTTTATTTCACATTTTTCACTGCATATACAGCAGGTAAAATAAGTATTGAACACGTCACCATTTTTCTCAGTAAATATATTACTAGAGGTGCTAATGA